CCACCCTGGCGACCGATGACCTCCCAACATCCATTGCTGTTTGGTCGCTTGCCGGTGTAAATATAATATCTTCTCGCCAGTGTGAGTCTGATGCGATTCCTCACGAGCGGTATATGTGATGTTAACCGCTTCTGTAAATTTGATGGCGTCACTCCTGTAAGTATGTACGTTGGACTTGGTACGTGCGAATCGGAGATGTGGAGGAAGCGCACTGCTCTGAGCGTGACCCTGATGTCATCTCAAAAGAGTGTAAATCTGACGTGATCGCTTCTGAGCGTAGACCTGATGCCTTGTCGGTGTAAACACCACTCCTGCCGCGGTGTGGCTTGTGGTGCGTGCACGCGCGCGTGCACGTCTCCCAGCGAGGCCTCCGTGGGCTCCCGTGCCTGCACGCCGTGCCCTTCGACCTCGCGCGAGCGTTTCCCCCAAGCGAACGCGAATGAGGCAATCGACTGTCGCATCGATTTCACCGCCGCCGTGACCGCACGAGGCCCGCTCACCCGGCGATGCGGTGGCGGTCGTGGTGGGGAGGGTGAGGGGGGGGTGGAGAGGGATAGGGGGGAGAGGAGTGGGGGCGGCCTCCGTGTTTTTCTCTTTGCCCCGTGATCGCACGCGCGGCTGCGCAGCACGCTGCCACCCGTTCAGCTAGGCGTAAATATGGAAATAATCACGGCTCGCGATCCTTGGGGCGATAGGACACGCTCCGTCTCTCTGCGTTCACGGTATCCCTCGTGGCGCGCGGTGATTACAAAGACCGCTTTGTGGTGCTCGCCGTGTTTGTATATCGATGGGGCGAAGGGGCGGGGGGGGGGGGCGGCTGTGGGGGTGGTTTTTGTTTTGCGCGCGCGTCTCTGCGGTCCTCGCGCCCACAACGTAATTGCCGCGCTTTCTCTGCGTTCCCGTTCGATTTGACGGCTGGAACGGATCGTTAGCGACGGGGGATGCGGAGTCGGGGGGGGGGGGGGCGGGAACGCATCGACGCCCGCGAGCATTTCGTTATTCGTTAGAAGAGCAGGTTTTTTTTTATTTTCCGAGAAGGTTGTGGAAAGAGACGGATGTCCTCTGCCTTCCAAGACTTTCCCCGCGGCCCGTCCATCGCGAGCTCCGTTCTCATCTCCGTGAATTGCGTAGCTGTTAAGTTTGTACGCAGGCGGTGCAATTGCACCGGTGCCCGTGGACCACAGGGGCCCCCAGGTGCTGAGCTATAAAGATTGCGGGGTAGGGGGGAGGTGGATGGGGGTGCGGGCGGGGGAAGTGAGGGAGAATTGAAACACTGTGGATGATAGGTGGGGGGGGGGGGGTCATTTCATACCATGCTCTGGGGCCCATGCCAACTACGCCACTGCTCCACTGCATACTTGCCCCCCCCCACCACACACAAAGACAAATATCCCCCCTATAGCCTTAACAGACTGTTATGGCAAGTGCTGCTTTTTTGTTTGCGAGCACCACCTATGAAGGCAGGCACGGCACACGAGGGCGTGGGTGGCCAGCATCACGCCCGGCCGCCTTTGTTTCCCGAGTGGCGATGTTGACACACCGCACCACGTACTCATTTTGAGGCCTAGTCGACCTATAAAGAGGCCCAGGACCGGGTCAGATCATCGTCACTGGTTTTGGCCGCGAGCGGGATTCGAAACTCGGACTGCCGGGTTCATAGCACGCGCACACATCGCTCGCGCACACGCTCGTGCGCAATAAACAAACGGCAACGGGTAATCGTACGTACGACGGGCGCTCGTGACATTTGTCTGACAATCGAAACGTGCGGAGCGTTTGCTTGTCGCGGCTGAATGTTCGACCAGTGGCGCGTTTTGTTTGCGTGCGCGCCCGTCCGACGGGAGACGGAGCTTTCTGTGTGCGCGGCAGCCACGCGTCGTCCCCGCTGCCGAATGCGAAGCGACGCTAATCGACGTCACGTGACACTGCGCGGAGAGGAGGGATCCACGACGTTTCTCCCGTGGTCAATCCACTGCTGGATGAAAGTTTCCCCAAACTAAAACTAATCTTATTCTTTTTTTTTACCACCAGATAAGGCCCACTGAGCTATATAGCACTTTCTCACAAACGACCTGGCCACAAGTTATAGCTCAACGAAGTGGCTTATCACGTGGCAATTTGTAGCAGCCAAATACTCTAAAGGGAAAAACCGGGGGACCCAGAGCAAAAATCCACACGATCACAGGGAGAGAGACACACAAGCTCCAAATATACAGCAGGCGTCGGGGTCTGGATCGAACCCACGACCTGCCGTAGACCAGGCGAGGTAGTTAACATCTCCTAGCCACTGTGATGATGAGAGACACACGCAAACTCCAAATATACAGCAGCAGGCGTCAGGGTTGGGATCGATCCCACGACCTCCTGTACACCAGGCGAAGTAGTTAACATGACGCCACCATCGCCATATTTCAGCGTTTGTACCGCAAGCGGTCAAGCTACACGAACCTGTGACCGTGTGGGCCTTTATCTCATCGGATCCCAGAAGCTAAGCGGTGTTGAGCCTGGGTAGTGCCAGGATGGGTGACCACCACGCATGCCAAGTTGTAATGTTCATATGCACCCACGTCTGTGCTGCCGGCCTCCCACCAACCGGCATCGACCGACGTGGCGAGGTATGGTCAGATCGACAAACACGACTCGCACGGTGTGGGGGAGGTCCTCGTGCAGCAGTGGATTGACCAATAATGGTTGTCAAAAGAACACCTCCTGTACCAATTCCTCCGTGTTCAGTGAATGATATGGCACGTTAAGTGTCGAACCCAGCAGTGTGATGGTGAGGGGGGGGTTGTGTACAGTCATTGGTGACTGGAAAGAGACCATCAACTCACTACACTTGAGCCCCCTGTTTAATCGGTCAGTGGCTGAAACATGGATTCAAACCCGGGATCTCAGTGGTTCCAGATCAACGCTCTGACCTCTTAAGCCACACCCGGTCTTGACCAAATATTAGGATTAGTTTTATTTTGGGGTCGATTTGCGCAAGCAATACGGTGGGGGGGGGGGGGGGTGTTCACCCTCCTCCACCCGACACAGCCGTTTATTAAAGCTGTCTCGTGAACAAACGTGGCCAGGTGAGTCCCGTTGCCCGTCATTGAATGAGGTCCATTACGCGTCCCTCGTTTCCGCCTCCTGCCGCACGCTGTGTGCGCCGAGTGCAGTGCTCTGAGAAAAATGCAGAAAAACGCTCATCATGTTGGGCAGGGGAGTAGGGTCAGGGTTTCGTTTGGAAGAACGTAGAATATAAATTTTTATCAGTGCCGTAAACAAAAAAGGCGAAACGCAACTCGTTGAGTACGCTGCACTTAATTGAACAGTGAAGTGAATGTTAATATGGTGAATTGTTAAATAAAACTGTTGATTTCGAGTGGCTGGTTGCAGGGCACAGGTTTGTGCATGTTTTAGTAATCCCACCAATACACAAATACTACTGATGATGCTGCTGCTCTACGACTGCTGATGATTGCTGGAAATTTTGCTGCTGTTACTTATTCTGCTGCTCATGATGCTTATTCTGCTCCCAACGATGCTAATGACGATGATTTGGAAGCTGCTGATCGTGGTTTTGATGATGCTAAATACTGCTGCTCATGTATAATTATGTGGATGCTGATGATCCTGGTTATGCTGATGATACTGATGATCCTTTCGATTCTGCTTGCTGACTGCTCATAGTGCTGCTGCTGACGATGCGAATCGTCTTCATCCCCCGCGGCACCCACGCTCTTTAGTCACTCCCTACTCTCGCCATTAAATAAAATACCGATTTGGCAAAAAAATATATCGCTGTGGTCGCTAATTGTCGCACGAGGCCCCACCGTATCAGTGATGACACAGCGAGAATGTGCTTCTGCCACGCGCGTGCACGGCGGCTGTGTTCTGGAATCGGTGGAAAGACGTTATCTCCGTTGCCTGGTATGCAGGAGGTCGTGAGTTCGATCCCGACCCTGACGCCTCCTTTATGTTTGGAGTCTGCACGTTCTCCCTGCGGTCGTGTGGATTTTTCTCCCGGGTCCTCTGGTTTTTCTCTCCACATTTAGAATCAACGTCACGCGTTTAGAGTGTTTGGCTGCTATACATTTCCACACGATAAGCCATTTACTGAGGCTATCATTTGTAGCCATGTCACTTCTGGAAATGATCTGTACAGCTGAGTGGGCCTTACATGGTTGAAAAAAAATTGTTTAAAATCAGATCGTTTCTCGATTATCGATTTTTTTTTCCCTTAATCGTGTTCGGAATCAATTATCAATTCCAAAAGTCATGGTATTCAAATCCATTTTTTGGGTTATATTTTTGATCTTCATCATGCTTGTTTTCCCAGAAAAGCCTCGCCGATTATCAAAACTTTTTGTTCAAAGAGGGTCCTGCCAAAAGTCTTTGCAGTAGGCGGCAACGATTGCAATGTGTTTTCCAATGAGTTGGTGGATCGACCGATTTGGCTTGCTCGGTCAAAACTGCACCGTGCCATCGTAAGGCGCCAGGAATCGGGGATTCATCGAAGACGCTCCAGGCACTTGGAGCGAAACGCCGGGCATCGTGCCAAAACGACAACGTGCGGTACAACCCCGGGGAGAGCTGTACAGTGGCCAAAGTAATGTTTCGTAACTTAAAGCTTTCGTGACTGCAGGAATTCACATTCTTTGGGTGTTTCGGTAAAGTCACGTAGATAGGTTCAAATAAACAAAAAAAAACTACGACGTTTCGATCCCTTTTCCTGATGACGACCGCTTGTGTTGCGATCAAAACGTCGTAGTTTTTTTGTTATTTTCTTTGAACCTATCTACGTGAGAGACCCAAAGAATATGTTTGGTACCGTGGTAAACACTGGCGTTTGGTCGACAGTGGCGGTGTCCACAGGACTGTTCTTGCTCGTGTTAGGAATAATAATCCTGCCAACGCCAGCAACGTTGACCGCAAGCGCAGTGCCGTCGTACCGCACACCCGTCTTACGCTCGCCTTTTCTCCCTCTTACCCGCCCCATGCTCTCGTCTCCCCAGCGAACGGCGTGTGCATGTTCAAATGCTCGGTGAGTAGAGACACGGAGTGCTGCCGCGTCGGGAAGCAGTCCTTCCTCATCACGCTGGGCGTGAACAGCGTCCTCTTCTGCTTCCCCACGCCCAACGGTGAGCGGGCGGGCGAGGGAGTGAATGGGTGGGTGGGCGGGTGAGAGGGTGAGCGGCAGAGTGGGTAGGTGAGCGGGTGAGTCGGTGAGTGACAGTGGGTAGGTGGGCGGACGAGTGAGTGAATGGGTGGGCGGGCGAGAGAGTGGGCAAGCGGGCGAGCAGGTGAGAGGGTGAGCAGGTGGGTGGGTGGGCGGACGAGTGAGTGAATGGGTGGGCGAGCAGGCGGGCGTGTGGGCGAGCAGGCGGGCGTGTGGGCGAGCAGGCGGGCGTGTGGGCGAGCAGGCGGGCGAGTGGGCGAGCAGGCGGGCCCCGCTAACAATTCCCGAACTCGTCTCCTCCCTCAGTGTCCCTCGATAACCTCGCTGTCGCGGCAACTGCTGCTCCGTCCGATGGGTTCTGTCCGTATTGGACGATGGGACAGGCAGCACTTGCCACATACCGTGCATCTAAAATATGCACACGCGCACGGTGGTGGCCCAACCATGCACTATCCAGGCTCGGGCCTGCTTAGCGTTCCGTATTGGGCAGCCTTCCGATAGCGAGCCACCATGCTCCAACCGCTGCTTTCAACTCCGTTTGCCACACAGCACCGATGATCCCCTCATGATGGTGAGAACCGGTCCTGAGCTCTCCTCCTCTGTCTCTCTCGTGATAGAGCTATGCTCCTTCCACAACATCCTCAAGAACTGCCGCGGCCACAACCTGGAGCACTCGGTGTTCAGCGAGCGCACCGAGGAATCGTCAGCGGTGCAGTACTTCCAGGTGTGTGTCCGCGTCGCGCCCCTACGGAGCGACGCTCGTCGCTGTTCCCCGGCAACGCCTCCCGTGACGAAACGTCGCCGATTTATATTATTTTTCTATTAAGGTGACAGTGTTATTTGGCGAACGTGTGAAGTTTTGTTTTTGTCCTTCGTGCTCGTGCAGCAGCACCACCACACAATTCGTTTATGTTTTAGTCGAGTCGTTGTGAGGATTATGCGGCGGCGAGGTATAAACGGCCGCTCTTGTCCTCCCGCGCAGTTCTATGGCTACCTGTCGCAGCAGCAGAACATGATGCAGGACTACGTGCGCACGGGAACCTACCAGCGTGCCATCCTGCACAACCACCTCGACTTCAAGGACAAGGCGAGGCCCTCCACATCCGTACATCCGCAAATCCGTACCTCTGTATATCCGCAAATCCGCACATCCTCAGATCCGTACCTCTATACATCCAGACTTTCACCAATGACACGCTCTGTTCTGACAGAAGGATAAGAAAAGGGTGGCGGGGGGGGGGGGGTTGTAATCGTTGCAACTCTTGTGCGATGCAGTTGTGCGTTACTCGACGAATCCGTTATTCGATTGTGAGTAAAATTATGGGCTCCTCCCTGCTCCTTCCCACTCCTCTCCGCTCTGCCTATGTCTCCCATCTCCACCCCATTCCTCCCTGCATCTCCCCCTGCTCCTTCCTGCATCTCCCTGCTCGCCCTGCATCTCCCTGCTCGCCCTGCATCTCCCCACTCCACCCTGTGCCCCCCCCCCTTGCTCCTCCTTGTTCCCCCCCCCCACCCCCCCTGCTGCTCCTACCCGCAACCCCCGCTCCTCCCCGTGACCCCCCCCCGCCCCCGCTCCTCCCCGTGCCCATCGCAGGTGGTGCTGGACGTGGGCTGTGGCTCGGGAATCCTGTCGTTCTTCGCCGTGCAGGCCGGCGCCCGCAAGGTCTACGCGGTGGAGGCGAGCACGATGGCGCAGCACGCTGAGGTGAGCGGCGAGTGAGGCCCACGCTCAGCTCGGTGAATGAAGACGCGGACGTTTCTCGTTCCCCCCTGCGACGGTGGTGGTGGTGGTGGTGGCGTTTGAGATGATGGCGGTGGCGGTGGTGGTGATGACATTGTAGGTGGCGATGATTGTGATGATGGTGGCAGTGGTAATGATGGAGGTAGTGATGATAATAGTGTAGGTGGTGATGGTTGTGGTGATGGCGGCAGTGGTGATGATGGTGTTCGTGGTTTGTGACGAGCTGTGACTCGGGGTTGTTGACGCGGCCCAGCGGTAGCAAGGGCAGCTGTTGGCTTGAATCCAGCGGCTGCCCTGGTTAATACTGCAGGTGAAATGACCATAACATAGATCGCTTGACATAATTTGCGATAGTAGGCCATCGTGGGTTGGTATCAAGGTTAAAATTTTAAAATGACGCCGCATATTACTCAATTGGGATTACACATACAGCAGCAGTCATCGCCCCCCGACTGGGTGGACTAATGCCATGTGTGGGTGCCGTGTCACCTTGCAGCTATCCCTGCCACACAGGGCCAGTTGCTACTGGGGGAGGGTGGGGGGGGGCCTTTAAAAATATGTTTGGGATGAGATGTGAGATGTTAAAGCGCTGTGAGATGCCCCGGCATACAGACGGGGGGGGGGTGGCAGCTCTTAACAAAAACCAAAATGGTGATCGTTGTCGCTCCGACCGCCCCCGGCCGTCGTGCTCGCGATGCCGTGCCCCTCCCCGCGCTCTCCCCGCAGCTGCTGGTGCGCAGCAACAATCTGCAGGAGCGTGTGGTGGTCATCCCGGGCAAGGTGGAGGAGGTGACCATCCCCGAGGAGGTGGACGTCATCGTCTCGGAGCCCATGGGCTACATGCTCTTCAACGAGCGCATGCTGGAGAGCTACCTGCACGCCAAGAAGTGGCTCAAGGCTGGAGGTGCACGGCGGAACACCAACCCCCGGCGGTGCTCGGGACCCCGTTCCAGAGTGGCAGGACGCGTTCTCGTTTTCGTGCAATTTTGTAGTTTTTTTTGCAACAAAAATGTGCCGACGTCCACATGGCTAACGATTATTCATAATAATAATGATGACGATAGACTTGGCCTGGGCTATTGACCATGGACCCCAGCCGGACCGAGTTTCAAACTCACTTTTGTTGTCTGTACAGGTGATCTGACCTTGCCATGTGTGTATGTGTGATAGTATAGCGAGCTACGTACCCGGCAAGCCGGGTTCGATTCCCACTCGCAGCCATCATCAGTGACGATTATCTGAACCAATCATGGGCCTCCCCTAGGTCGACTCAGCCTGAAATGAGTACCTGATGCGGTGTGCAAACATCGCCAATGGGGAGACAAAGGTGGTCGGGCGTGGTGCTGGCCACCCCACCCCCTCTCGTACCGAGCCGGCCTTCATAGGTGCTGCTCGCTAACAGCACTTGCCCCAACAGTCTGTTTGTCTTTGCACAGGTAACCTATTCCCGACCCTGGGCGATGTCCACTTGGCACCTTTCACGGACGAGCAGCTCTACATGGAGCAGTTCACCAAGGCCAACTTCTGGTGAGGACGACGAGAAGCTCAACTGGAACACCATCGTCGTCGTCATTGACATCAACGCCATGGTCGTCATGCTCGTTTACCCACGACAGTCCCGTGGAGTCTCAGCCCGTTGTTTTTTTGGGTGTCCTGCTAAGTTTTTGCAGCAGGGGAGGGACGCCGGTTGCTCCGTTCTTTTCATGAGTAGAGTTTTTTTTTTTAAACATCGGCATTGTCGTCATTCTCGTTGTTGCCCTTCTGAGATGGATAAAATCGACTCCACCTGATCAGGCTGGACCACTTGATGTGAATGTGTCTGATGGTGGTGTCTGATCATGGTGTCAGGGATGGTGATAACTATGTCATTGGTAAAGTTGGGAGTGTTGGCGATGATGGTGGCGATTGTCTGGCGTTGGAGTGTTGGTGGTGATTATGTTGTTGGTGGCGTTGGTGGGAATGTCGCTGATTGGAATGGTTGGTGATCGGTGGACGTGTCGTCTGTCGCGCCAGGTACCAGCAGTCCTTCCACGGTGTGGACTTGTCGAGCCTCAGGGCGGCGGCGGTGGAGGAGTACTTCCGTCAGCCGGTCGTGGTGAGTCCGCCCAACCGCTCGGCCGTCTTCCGCGCGGCGCGAATCGTGCGGTCTTGTGCGGAGGATGGCGAGCGAGCGAGCGAGCCGGTGGACGACGCCTTGGTGGACAGCTGTAACTCGGCAAGCGAGTGATCGGAACCGGCAGTGAGGGTACCGCGCGGTTCCGCGGTGGTGGGGGACTGCAAAACTGTAATGCTTGTTGTAATGCACGTGCCGTCAGTTGCACGACCGAACAGTTGGTTCGCCAAATGTACCGCGACATTAACGGTGTAACGTAATTGCAAAGCGCTAACGTTTACTTGATGGTCGCAGTTAATTTTTACACTTGAATTATTGCTATTGTCACTTTTGTACACGTTTTTGTTGGTGAAACCACACAGTATCGGAACAAGAATTAAACGTCGGATGCCAATCCCGACGGTGCGACATTGTACGAAAACGGACGGGGCAGTTGCCGTGGCTGGCAACATCGCGTGATGCGTCGTACACGCGCGCACATATCGTGCGTTTCCGCAGGACACGTTTGACATCCGGATCTTGATGGCCAAGTCCATGAAGTACACGGTCAACTTCCTGGATGCCAAGGAGGAAGATCTCCACAGGTGACTGAATGTTCCTTGCAATCATCTTTCTTCAGCCGTGATCAATCCACTGCTGGATGGGAGACCTCTCCCCAAGCAAATGTCTCTCGCGGTCGCGCGAAAATGAACCCTTATAAAATCTAGCGTGTAAACATCGCCACTGGGGAGACGAAGGCGGCTGGGCCTGGTCACCCATACCATCGTGTCCAGTGCCAGCCTTCATAGGTGCTACTCGCTAACAGCACTTGCCCCAAACAGTCTGTTAAGGCTACACGGGAGTGGGGGGGGGGTCTTTGTCCTTATGTGGTAATATATATGCGTGTCTGTACGCATGTCTGTGTTTCCGTGTGCTTTGCACGAGTGTTCACGTGTGATTGTGCGTGCGTCCGCAGGTTGGAGATCCCATTCAAGTTCCACATGAACCAGTCGGGCCTCGTTCACGGCCTCGCCTTCTGGTTCGACGTCGCCTTCATCGGATCGATGTACGCACCCCCCTGCCCCCCTCTCCCCCGTTCCCAGCGGTGGTGTAGTGGTTAACACGCTGTGCTACGATCCCGGCAGCCCGAGTTTGATTCCTGCTCATTGGCAACACCAGTGACATTATCTGAACTGGTCCTGGGCCTCCCCTAGGGTTGCCTCAGCCTCAGCAGGAGTACCTCGCGTAGTGTGTAAACATCGCTGGGCGTGGTGCTGGCCACCCACCACCTCTCGTGTGCCTTTCTTACCTTCATAGGTGCTACTCGCTAACAGCATTTTCCCCAACAGTCTGTTGAGGCTGTATGGGAGATCTTTGTACACTGACACGTGGTTGTGGTGGTGGTGTGGGTGCAGGGTGACGGTGTGGCTGTCCACCTCCCCCACGGAGCCGCTCACTCACTGGTACCAGGTTAGGTGCCTCCTACAGACACCGCTCTTCGCCAAGGAGGGCGACACGCTCTCCGGAACCGTGGTGCTCTCCGCCAACAAGAGGTGCGGCCACACCACAGCACCACACCTCAGCCACATCGCACTCCCAACCACACCACAGCACCACACCTCAGCCACATCACACTCCCAAACCCCACCACATACACATCACGGCCTCATCGCACTCCCAACCACACCACATACACATCACAGCCACATCACACTTCCTACCACACCACATACACATCACAGCCACATCGCACTCTCAACCACACCACATACACATCACGGCCACATCACACTCCCAACCACACCACATACACATCACGGCCACATCACACTCCCAACCACACCACATACACATCACAGCCCCATCGCACTCCCAACCACACCACACACACCACGGCCACATCACACTCCCAACCACAGCACCACATCACAGCCTCATCGCACTCCCAACCACACCACACACACCACGGCCACATCACACTCCCAACCACACCACACACATCACAGCCACATCGCACTCCCAACCACACCACACACACCACGGCCACATCGCACTCCCAACCACACCACACACACCACGGCCACATCGCACTCCCAACCACACCACACACATCACAGCCACATCGCACTCCCAACCACACCACACACATCACAGCCACATCGCACTCCCAACCACACCGCACACACCACGGCCACATCACACTCCCAACCACAGCACTACATCACAGCCACATCGCACTCCCAACCACACCACACACACCACGGCCACATCGCACTTCCTACCACACCACACACACCACGGCCACATCGCACTCCCAACCACAGCACTACACAATAGCCTCATCGCACTCGCAACCACAGCAACACACATCACAGCCACATCGTACTCCCAACCGTGCATAACCACACTGCACTTTACCACTCACAGCCGTTTCAATGCCCAAATAATTGGACCCGTGGGTTTATCTTCGGTTGCTGCGGTTTCCTCTCTCGCATATAAACACTCGTCAAAGGAGTTGTGCCAAGCACATCCAAATCTAGGGCCACAGAGCTTGGGCAATTGTTGGTAGCGCCTAGTCTGGCTACCTTTCTCGCTTGTCTGTGCTTTTCCGCGCACGTCTGGACCTAACGAACCCCCCAATTATCACGGTTGGTTACGTACGGCGCTAAAATTGTGCGCGTTTATTCATATTTAGCGCGCCGCATCGTCACCCCTTCCCATCGTTGTTCCTCCTCCTCCTCGTCACCACAGGCAGAGCTACGACATCGAGATCGAAGCCACGATGGACCAGACGGGGTCGCGCTCACGTAACCTCCTCGACCTCAAGAATCCGTTCTTCAGGTGTGTGGCCGTCCACCGCCACCGTGTTCCACCTACTTTGCTCAAGTGTAGCTAATTGGCACGTTTTGTTTACTAATTGGCTGTTGGGTTGTGGTGGTGAGTTAACGACGCATTCACATTCATGCAATCTAACAAACAAAAAATAAACCTTTATTATGAAGAACTTTGCAAGATGGGCGGGGGAGGGAATCTAAATCACCGCGTAGGGTTTTCCTGCTTGTGCCGTGTATGGATGCCCGATGCATTTTTAGGTTGGATGTACGTGTGTTGAACTTCTCTCGCACCGTATGTAGCCAGCCGTGCTAATCGGCGGTGCGTGTTGTCACGGGGGATGATGCCCGGCGTTCCGCCTCCCCCGCACTAGCTTGGGGCTTGTGCAATTTAATGACATTTGTAACTTGTAATTGATAACTACATTACACGCACTGACAGTATCGGTGCGTGTAATTTAAATGTCAATTACAGTGTGGCCGATTGCCTCGAGGATACGTCCCAAATTGTAACACAACTTTATAATAAAGATTTGTTCTAATTGTATCAACTTATCGTCACCCACCCCCGTGTTACGGATGGATGGTTTCATTGTTGGGCGGGGGCTTCACTGTTGCAGGTACACAGGAGCAGCCCCCTCCCCTCCCCCGGGCTCCCAGTACACGTCGCCCTCCGAGAACCTGTGGAACTCAACAGGCACCTACGGGGTCGCACCCGGTAACGAACGCAGTCTCAATCGCTCACTCGCTCGCTCTCAATCACTCGGTCAGTCACTCGCTCAGTCACACGCTCAGTCACACAATCACCCACCTAGTCACACACTCATTTGCACACTCCCATGCTGCCTTGTCCACCCACCTGGCCGCTTGAACACTCGCCCACTCACTCGACCACTCGTTTAGCCTATCCATCGTCGGTTTTTTTGCCCGTTTAACTTGATCACTCACTCGTCCGCCCACACAATTAACTTGTTCACTCGCCCACCTGCCTAACCATTTGCTCCACTCATTCGCTCACTCGTCCACTAGCTCACCCGCCCACTACTTCACCCGCCCACTACTTCACCCGCCCACTACCTCACCCGCCCACTAGCTCACCCGCCCACTAGCTCACCCGCCCACTAGATCACCCGCCCACTAGCTCACTTGCCCACTAGCTCACTTGCCCACTACTTCACCCACCCACTACCTCACCCGCCTACTAGCTCACCCGCCCACTAGCTCACCCGCCCACTAGCTCACCCGCCCACTACCTCACCCGCCCACTAGCTCACTTGCCCACTCCTGCATCACTGACCCACCCGGCCACCTCCCCCACACTCAGCCTTGACGGTCGTCTCCCATCCGTGTGCGTCTTTCTGTCCACAGCTGGGGTGATGCCAGCCGCCTACGATCTCAGCTCTGTCATGGGGACCGGGGGATTCGGCGTCTCCCACAACAACCTCATCCCCGTCGGTGAGTCGCAGCGCGACGAGGACCGGGGGGGGGGGGGGGGGGGCAGAACCTATTTCCACGACAGCCTTTGGAGCAAGTGGTGGCCCCCCTTTTCACGTGCATTTCATTTCCGTTGCTTTTCATAAGGTCGTCGTCTGTGCGATTTTTTTTTTTAAATCTTTGCGAGCACACGTGCACGGGGGTCGTGTTGGCCACGCCGTCGCATGGCGTGGCTGTGGCAACCCTTGATAGGCGCTCGCTAACAGCACTTGCCCTCCTACAGTCTGCTATACGGGGGGGGGGGGGGAACCTCTGTCTTTGTCTTTGCTCCACAGCGAACGTGGGCATCGTGAACCACAGCCCCGCGCGGCAGGGCTCCATCATGAGCACGGGCTTCGTGCAGGGTGAGTGGCGCTCGCTCCGACCGCTCGCACCCAACGTCAGTGCAGCCAACCTGGGCTCGGCAAACCCAAAGAGAGCGAGGCTTAACCCCCCTGTGTAAATGCGTCTTCGCTTGCCAGCGGTCTTCATGGCAGGAAGCAAAAGCGACAGGTTAGGAGACGTGTCATGGTTGAAAGTAAAGTTTGCAATCTTCCGTTCCGTCTCCCACGCTGCAGCTCGAGCGTGGTCTAGCGACCTTTGCCACGTCTGTAGCCGCCCACGAAATCCGTCCAGCGAGTGCCGATGCACAATTACGGAGACGCCGACGACGATCGCCACCGATAATTACATCCTCAAGGATGAATCTCGTCATGGCCTTGCGTTTTTCGTGCCATCACGAGTCAAAACACAAAGCGTGTACACGCGCGCGCACACACACACACGTGCGTGACTGTGCACCAGAAGCTGCGGAGCAAACGCAACTATACGAGTGTGACACATGGACATAAAGACCCTCACCTCCTTGTGCCCAACCCTGTGAGCGCAATCTGAATCCCGATTCCTTGCCGCCGCCACCGCTGCCAAACGCTGAAAGTGCCGCCCCTACTCATGCCACTGCGGATTCTCGTGCCTGCCGGAGGAGGAAGAGGCGGCGGCGGCGGCGCCGCTCTGGGTCCTTGTGGCAGGGCCGTGACCGTTGTGCCGTGGTGTTTTGCGAGCGCAGGGGGGTCGAGCCTGCAGCAGCCCAGCAGCTCCTACTACCCGGTGAACGTGCCCTTCTCCATGTCGGGCGCCGCCATCTCCATGGCGTCGCCCATGTCCATGGTCACGAGCTCCGTGGTGCACTACGGCAGCTGAGGCCCGCGCCAGGCCAGCCCCCGCCCGCCCGCCCGCCCGCCCTGCCGCCGGCATTGCCATCGCCGCCACAACCCCCTTGCCGCGTGGCGACCAGCGTCCGACACCGCAACCACCCACGCCCCCCCCCCTCAAAAACCAACGGACGCGCCGTGTCTCCCCCGCGCACTGCGGACTTCTCCGGGGTCCATGGGGAAGACCCCGCGGCACCACGAACTCTGAACTTTGGCGGCTGCTGATGTACGGGATGGGGGAAGTCTGACCGCTGATGACGTGTGCAAGCAGGGCTTATTTTCTCATCGAATGTTTTTCCGGGTAGCTACTAGGCTGGAGGTTAGACGGCGCGTGACTGATTAACCCAGACGATGGCGAAATATGTATGCTGGATGTGGTGTGCCGGGTGCGCGGAAAAAATTGACGCGGTTGACATTAAGTTCTGCCGTGCGCGTGATGACGACGAGCCTGTTGAGTTGTTGTTTTGTTCTCGCGCATCTCCCCGCGGTTTTTTTTTATCTCCACCCAATGTGTCAACAGCTGAACGTTCCTGCCAGTCCAACACGCCAGTGTTGGGTTTTCAAGGTCTCTGGTCGGGTCTGTCCGTCAGGTTCGCCACACTCTGTTAGAGCGAAGCTGTGTGCGTGCTCGCTGCAGGTGCAGTTTAATGCACCCCGCGCGCCCCAACGCGGCGCCTTGGGTTCAGGAAATTAATGGACGGAGACGTTTTGCCCCGACGAGTCGTGTTGGTCGCAACTCCACGCCCCCGGGGGCTCTCTCTTCACGGCTTTGCCGTTCACTCGGCCGGTGTGGAAGGTCCCCTGCGTATCGTTTAAAACTTTTTTGGCGAGTGTTAACGAACTTGTGAAATTCTTGGGGGTTGATGGGTGCCACCCCCCCATCATGGACTTCTTTATGGAGGCCGTGGGTTAATGTAGCGTTCTCTCGCCTAATGCTATTGGGCCAAAAATCCATACCGGGCGCATTTTGGAAGGTAAGGTTACTACACAATTTATCGTCGATTAGTACCGTTATATCTTTTGTTTGTTGGATTATGAAGCGATGGAGGTTGCCGTCCTACTGGCTACACTGGCTCGCGTCGACGGGTAGTCTCAAGCGAGGGGAAGGAATCGAGTTATTCCTGCAGTATGGTTTTCTTTTTTTTACTTCATCGGAAGGAATTGTTGGTCTGTTTTCAATAAAATCGTTGCGTACGATGGTAGGTCCCTTGGTCACGCGTGCGTCTCATTGTGCTGCCAGCTGTGGATGTGTAAATTAAATCGTTGGTTTCCTCGAAAAAATGTCTATAGGTACAGCCCTGCAATTTCTTTGCTCGTACCACTGCTGCTGGATAGGTCCTGCCCTGAGAGGGAGGCCCATCTAGAGAGCCTTTGTTCTACTCTTCCATGCAAGCCAGACTTCCTGGAAGGTGGGAGTTATCCACACGTTTACCCCCATTGCATACGGACCTGGTCGTTGGTTGCACCCGCTGGCTAGACAGGTGATGGTTTAAAAAAAAAACTTGCAACCATTCTTTCAAATATACCGGGGCCGCGAGATGGAACCTGCAGCCTCTGGAGTGCAAAACCAGTGTGGGAACCAGTACGCCCACTTATCAACAGCAGTAATAATATTTTGCATAGGCAAACATTACATTTTTCCTGGTGTCGTTAAAGTCGGGAGTAAGTTGTCTTTAAATGCACGAGTCGTTTAAGTGAAGAAAAAAAGATGCTCTTTATTTGTCAACTCAAGTATAGGGACTGGCTTAAAATATCAGTGGCAAGGGACTGCATTAACACGACGTTACCATTAACATTTTCAGCCAGGGGGCCGCAGTAACATGCGGACCTCAACCATAGGAAGATAGAGCAATTCAAGGAAGAATAGTAAATTAGCCATGACCTATCCACTGCTAGATGGCCTCCCCGCTCCCAGGCCATGCCATCACCATCTCTGGTCCAGGTGATACAAAATGGCAATTCATCAGCTTGGTGAGCATGTCGCTCCATGTACAGCAGCCATCTGCATTGCTCCATCTCTGCAACCAACGTCCTCTCTGGCATGTCTTTGGTGGTCTCGACCATGAGCCATCACCTCTTCGAGCTGTGTTCTGTCGAAGCCCACGAACTTTAAGTCGTTGTCTGTGACCCGAGTGTTCTCTAATCCATGTGTTCCTATTTCTCCTGTGCACGTCTCTCCCCATTTGCCTCCAAGTGTCCCATCTCTGCCTCCCCTCACCGTGTCTCCCCATCCTGTTCATCCCCTCTTCACGTGTTCTCCCTCACGGTCTCCCATTCCCGCACCTCCCAGCGTCTCCGCACTCTCCTCCCCTGTGGTCTTCCAGCCCCATGCCTCCGTCTCCCCTCCGTCTCCCCTCCTGCTCAGCGAGGTCTCCCCCCGTGCTCGTGTTTCCCTCCTCTTGCGCGCGTCTCCCCCGTCTCGCTCCCCATCGTTCGCCTCCGCACGTAACCTCTTGGCGCCGTCCTGCCCGCGCGTCCTCGGCTCGGACTCCGGCCGCGGCTGCGGGTGGATGCGCTTCACGCGCTCCTCCAGCGTGAAGGCAGCCCGCGCGAACGGCAGCCCGCGCACTCGTGGCACGGGTACGGCCGCTCGCCCGCGTGGGTGCGGGCGTGCTCGGCGAGCACACCCGCACCCACGCGAGCATCCCGCCGCGGACCAAGGGCCTCGCGCCCGAGTGCCGGCGCAGGTGCTCGCGCGGCGAGCGAGCGTGCGCCACGCCGCGCCAGGCCGTCGAGCTGCGTGAACGTGCGGGGGCACCGGAAGAGCCTCTCGGCCACGTGGCTACGCTCGCGCCGCGCTGCCGAACGCTTTTGCCGCAACTTCCCGCACCCGAAGCTGCGCTCGCCCGCGGGCGCGCGGGACGACCGGTGCCTCCGCAAGCCGCCCGCGTACCGGTACGTCTTGCCGCGCTCGGCGCGGACCAAGCGTCCCCGGCTTCTCCTTGCCGCCGTCGCGATGCTCGGCCGCCGGTGGCAGCGGCCTCAACTGCTTCTCTCTCATCAGCCGGCGCCGCTTCTCCTCTTCCTCGGCTCCCAACCTGCGCTCCCCGGATGCGCGCCGAGCGAGGTGGAAGACGCGCGGCACCGGAGGAGTTCACTCGCGGACTTGGGTAACCTCGTGAGGTGAATCCTGATCTCCATGATTTTGTTGTGCCCGTTTGGGCTTTGGTAGAGCTTCACGAGGTCGGGACGATCCTTCCCTTTTGCGAACGCGGGGATGAACGTGCCGTGCCGGGCTCGGAGCTTGAGTCGGTCGCGTCTACTGATAATACATGACGAAAAAATGCAGACGTGAAAAATGATTTTCATTTTCCCCTCCCAGCCCGCTCCCCTAATTATTTTAATTGTGCTCGTGGAGTATAATATGCGATGAGGAATTTGGAAATCTTCGTTGAGCCTTGCACCCGGAGTTGTTGCAGAACGCCCAATGTAAGAAAACAGTTCTGCAGGACTTGTGAAAAAAGTGACCTCTTGAGACGAGTGTTCTTCACTCGTGGGGGCACCTTCGCCGATAAGACCTCATCAGTGTGAAGGCCGCCATATTTTGGAAACCATTGGGGGTTTAATTTTGATTTAAAGCTTTCGTGACTGCAGTAATTCAAATTCTTAGCTCTTTCGGTAAAGTCACGTTAAAGGGAAACAATAAAATATATATAAAACAATACAAAAAATTCTCACGACGTTTCGACCATAACACACCTGATGATGACCGTTTGTGTTATGGTGGAAACGTCCTGAGAATTTTTGTATTTTTATATATATTATTATTTTATTGTTTCCCTTTAACGTGGTGACTTTACCGAAAGAGCAGAACGTCAGGGCCGCTCGTGGGCTTGCAATGAAGGCCGCTGCTTGCTTTCCCAGAAGCTGGTATTCAAACGGATATATTTTTATTTTTTCTGAATTATAATTCACAGAGGTGTAATTTCATTAAATCGAGCATAAAGCCAACACGCATCGATGATTTTTCTGTGGATTATTTGGTGATCCGTGCTGACACCCAACCATTTCACTGAACTTGAGAAAACGGGTTTAATTGTGGGTTACTGAGACCTCGAGTCAAACCCAGGACTTTCATCCGTGCCGGTTCACCACGCCGGGCACCTCCTTTGAAACACGACCACTGCCAAGCACCTCCACTGCTTTGGTTGCTTCGAGCGTTGTGGTTTATAAGCAAATTGACTCGTGGACTTAACATTTACACCAGAAGAAGGGGAATGTGTGATTGTTGGGCCACTTTCCAACGCGCCCATAACGCGGCTAAGCTAAAAACTTGTGCGTACACGTAATGTGGCGGCGATAGGCCCTGATAAGGGGTGTGTGTGTGTGTGTGTTAAAAAGACAACAAATGTGCAAAGGTGACATTTTTTTAGGTCAATTAATTGGTCGGCCAGAACACATCTGGACCACCCTGCACAATATTTAGAAACAACACAGCACAAAGCACACGTCATATACATTATTATACAACACACGTCATATACATTATTATACAACACACGTCATATACATTATTATACAGCACACGTCATATACATTATTATACAACACACGTCATATACATTATTATACAGCACACGTCATATACATTATTATACAACACGTCATATACATTATACAGCACACGTCATGTACATTATTATACAGCACACGTCATATACATTATTATACAACACACGTCATATACATTATTATACAGCACACGTCATATACATTATTATACAGCACACGTCATATACATTATTATACAACACACGTCATATACATTATTATACAGCACACGTCATATACATTATTATACAACACACGTCATATACATTATTATACAACACACGTCATATACATTATTATACAGCACACGTCATATACATTATTATACAACACACGTCATATGCATTATTATACAGCACACGTCATATACATTATTATACAGCACACGTCATACATTATTATACAGCACACGTCATATACATTATTATACAACACACGTCATATACATTATTATACAGCACACGTCATATACATTATTATACAGCACACGTCATATACATTATTATACAGCACACGTCATATACATTATTATACAACACACGTCATATACATTATTATACAGCACACGTCATATACATTGTTATACAACACACGTCATATACATTATTATACAACACACGTCATATACATTATACAACACACGTCATATACATTATAGAACACACGTCATATACATTATTATACAACACACGTCATATACATTATTATACAACACACGTCATATACATTATTATACAACACAGCATACAGCACGACCATTCATACACGAGGACGTACTCGGCGGACACAACAGTCGCACACAACATAAACAACAATCACATTTAACAGACACAACAGTCGCACACAACATAAACAACAGTCACATTTAACAGACACAACAGTCGCACACAACATAAACAGTCACATTTTACAGACACAACAGTCGCATTTAACAGACAACAGTCGCACACAACATAAACAACAGTCACATTTAACAGACACAACAGTCGCACGCAACAGTCAGACAACGAACCTTCTTCTTCTTCCTCCTTCACGACGACTTCGGTCTTCACGACGACCGGCGCGCGGTGTTGAACCTGGACGCGTCCCCTCTCGTCCTCCGCACCAACACCACCATCATCATCACCACCATCATCATCACCACCATCATCACCACCACCATCATCATCACTACCATCATCACCACCACCATCATCATCACCACCACCATCATCATCACCACCATCATCATCATCACCACCACCACCATCACCACCACCATCATCATCACCACCATCACCACCATCATCACCACCATCACCACCACCACCATCATCACCATCACCACCACCATCATCATCACCACCACCATCATCACTACCATCATCACCACCACCATCACCACCACCATCATCATCACCATCATCCCACGCGAACACCTCCTTCACGGTGCCCACCTCCTCACCCACCTCATCGCCTTTCACGGTGCGGACCTGCATCATCACCTCGCCTGTGTCCGTCTCCCTCATAACCTCGTCACTCACCGCCCTCACCTCGTCGCCTAACACTCTCACCACCCTCACCTCCTCACCCGCCACCCTCACCTCCTCACCCGCCTCCGTGACCTCCTCAACCACCCACCTGACCAACTCTGCCACCTCATCGCCCTCCACCCTCAACTTCATCACCTCCTTACCAACCCCCATCGCATCAATGCCCACGTCGTCCTCCTCATCCACCACTTCGCCGACACGCTCCACTCCCTCACCCGCCACCTCTTTCTCCTCAGCTCTCACCCCTTCTCCCACCGCTCTCACTTTCGCCTGTCCGCCCACCCACCTCATCGGTCCCACCTCTTCATTCGCCCTTCTTACCTCCTCGCCCTTTCTCACCTAGTCCGCGCCGCTCGGCGGCTCTCTGTGGTCCCGGCTTCACCTCCGTAGCACGAACTTTCCCCTCTCTCGACAATCCCTCACCTCTTCGTTCACCTCCACATTCCCGCCTCGTCCACCTCGTTTACCTCATCATTTCACACCCGTCCCTTCTCCGGACCCCCGCGACGCCTTTCCCGCTGCCCCCGGCCTCGGCGAGCCTCGCCCGGCGCGGGTTCTAGGCAAGAGCCGGGGGCCCCGCTCCTCCCCCCGCCCCCGTAGGCCTTTAGGCCACAAATATAAAAATGTGCCTGCTAAAGTCCCGCAGTTCTAGACGAGACGGGGAACTTGAAGAGCGCGTGAAGAGTCCTCCTCTCCCACACACACACACACCTCCTCGCAGCCTAACGAGGTGAAGGGAAACGCACGTAAAGTATCCGCCAGCTCTCCCACGCGTGGCGGTGGTGAGCGGCGGGTGAAGAAGACGCGGGGCTTGACCGCTGCAGAGTCTCCTCCACAGGCTCCCGGGTTCAACTTCCTCGGCTGGAGAACGGCTCAAGGTCACACTACTCAACTCTCTCTCTCAAGGGGGGGTCTAAGACCCCCGAGTTGCAGCAACTCAGTAGAGTTGCAGCAACTCAGTAGAGTTGCAGCAACTCAGTAGAGTTGCAGCAACTCAGTAGAGTTGCAGCAACTCAGTAGAGTTGCAGCAACTCAGTAGAGTTGCAGCAACTCAGTAGAGTTGCAGCAACTCAGTAGAGTTGCAGCAACTCAGTAGAGTTGCAGCAACTCAGTAGAGTTGCAGCAACTCAGTAGAGTTGCAGCAACTCAGTAGAGTTGCAGCAACTCAGTAGAGTTGCAGCAACTCAGTAGAGTTGCAGCAACTCAGTAGAGTTGCAGCAACTCAGTAGAGTTGCAGCAACTCAGTAGAGTTGCAGCAACTCAGTAGAGTTGCAGCAACTCAGTAGAGTTGCAGCAACTCAGTAGAGTTGCAGCAACTCAGTAGAGTTGCAGCAACTCAGTAGAGTTGCAGCAACTCAGTAGAGTTGCAGCAACTCAGTAGAGTTGCAGCAACTCAGTAGAGTTGCAGCAACTCAGTAGAGTTGCAGCAACTCAGTAGAGTTGCAGCAACTCAGTAGAGTTGCAGCAACTCAGTAGAGTTGCAGCAACTCAGTAGAGTTGCAGCAACTCAGTAGAGTTGTGGTCCAGTCTCCGGTTCAGCCCGCCACCCCTACCTGGGTTAATCTCTGCCCCGCATCTCTCCCCACCTCTTCTCTCTTTAGCTCACCACCAACAAACCAACCAGCACCACCACCACCAACCAACCACCAACCAACCAGCACCACAACCACCACCAACCAACCAGTACCACCACCACCAACAAACCAACCACCACCAACCAGTACAAACCAACCAGCACCACCACCACCAACCAACCAGTACCACCACCAACAAACCAACCACCACCAACCAGTACAAACCAACCAGCACCACCAACAAACCAACCACCAACCAACCACCACCAACCAACCAGCACCACTACCAACAAACCAACCACCAACAAACCAGCACAAACCAACAACCAACCAGCACCACCAACAACCACCACCACCAAAAAACCAACCACCAACCAACCAGCACCACAACCAACCAGCCAGCACCACCAACAACCAGCACCACAACAAACCAACCACAACCAACCAGCACCACCACCAACCACCAACAAACCAACAACCAACCAGCACCACAACCAACCACCACCACCAACAAACCAACCACCAACCAACCAGCACCACAACCAACAACCCACCAGCACCACCACAACAAACAAACCAGCACAGCAACACTGCCCCCACCAGTTGAGTTTTAGCGCCGCCGCCTCCTCCTGATCGTGCCGCCCGAGATTCGAGATTCAAAATGTAAATTCCCCCCCCCTCCACTCGCCAGGGAAGTTCTTTAACAATGTTGAGTCTGAACCAGTGAAGTCGCCTTTACTTACGCGGTTTTACGCAACAAACAAACACACAAACGTTCTGCTGTGAAATTGTTCGACAGCTAAAACATTTTTTTTGTTTACATTTACACGCTTTTATTTAACTCACTGTCTGTCTGTCGTATGCTCAAATCTTGTAACTCAAATTGTAACCCACTTTCCAATGTGGTATCGACTGCAAACTTGGTATACTTATGCCATACTGATGACAATACTATATTCTTTCATTAAAAAATAAAAATACATTTTAAAACATTCTTTTTTATAGGTTAGATGGTTCGGCTTGGGTCGAATTGTCCACGCTCAACTGACGTTGGCTGTCATTGGCCACGGTCCCCTTACGTTGTGGCACGCTTCGGGGCCACTTCCTGGAGTCGTGGAGTATTTCCATTACTAGCACGGTACATTTCATTAAAGCGTGTTTAAAAAAAAAGTGTTTTTTTTATATTACTTATTACTTGCGGCTTTACACCCCTTTTGGTTCTCAGTCGTTACATTTGTTTTTACAATGTTAGTAAATACGTAGGAGGTTTGATGAAACAAAGTATGTTTGCACAGTAACAGTCACTTTTTAAGAACGTTTTCTTGTTCATGTTTTTTGTTTGTTGCGGTTGCACCCGATTCAAGAGCCGAATGGCGTCATCTGGTCGAGCACCAATTTGGTCGAGGCTCAAAAGAAAGCCGTCCCTTGGTGTGGACCAATCAGTTTCAAGGACAATGCATCATACATTATCATAGTATGTTTTTTTGTTTGCATTTTGACTGCAGGTATTGTGGTTAATGCATATATGAATCCTCGTAAAAAGGTTTCAGTTTTGTTGCCAGAAAAAAGGGGAAAAAAACCCTATTATTACATTTTGGTACTGGCAAAGGTCTAATGATTCACTGAGCTTGTAGTAAGTCAACACAACCCAGGGAATTTGTATGAATCTGAACAATGCTCGCTGAAACCCTTTCCACGTTACGCCAGGCATGGACGGGAGTGATGGGGGCGGGGAGGAGTTTTGACCATACTTCGCCACGATGTTCAGTGCATGTTGATTTAAGGGGGTTTGTGGGTAGGGATACCACGACCGGCTCAGAATGTCTCCGATCGTTTGCGGTTGGTGTCGTTACCCGTGGCCAGGAACTGAACTCGGACCGCCAGTCTCATAGCTCAGTGCACGCATTACTCAATGCGTAACTCTGTACATGGTGATAATGCTACATGACCTTAGAGTACATAGCCCGCCCTAAATCAGTGCCACATGGGGCAAAGCATGCCTCGACTCAGAGCCGTCCCTCGGGGCATGGCGAATCGGGGCGACGGCCCCGGGCCCCGCGATTTGGGGGAAAAGGGGGCACACGGTGTGGTTTGCCACGGGGCCCTGCGGTGGCGAGATGTTAACTCCCTCGCCTGGTATGCAGGAGATCCGAGTTCGACTCTCGCTCACGACCAACACCAGTGACGATTATCCGATCCGGTCCTGAGCCTTCCCTAGGTCGGCTCGGACTCAAATGAGTACCTGGTGCGGTGTGTAAAAAAAAATTGCAACTGGGGAGACAAAGGCGGTCGGGCATGGTGCTAGCCACCTACCCCACCCCCTCGTGTAGCGGGCCTGCCTTCATGTGCTACTCGCTAACAGCACTTGCCACAACTCTGTTAAGGCTATACGGGGGATCTTTGTCTTTGTTGCCAATCCCTTCTCTCCGATGCCCGGCGGTAACGTGGGCCAGCAAGTCCAGGCGGTGTTCTTTGATAACCGATGTGATTATAGCAGTGGCAGACTTTCTCGTTTGCTATCACCGTCATTGCATGATTCACGTGTACAAATCATAAAGAATGACAAGGGAAACAGCAGCCGGCACGTTTGCAAAGATGCGTGGCGAGATGAATGATCCGAAAGTGAACCACGTGGGGATAGAGAACAATCACATTAATAATGATCACGTTGCCTTAAAAAGAAAAGTCGTGGGCTTTGAGCAGCCTGAATTGCTGGGGAGGGATAACGGCCGATGGTCGAGCCTTGCGATGGAATGGCAGCCAAAGGAGTGAAACAACGCCTGACAAAAACGACTTGACAAGCAGACGCAGCAGCGTGAAGCGGCCTTCATCCCACAGCGTACAATGGTCGACGATAAATGTAACCGCAATTAAATTACACGAGATGTAATTTTGCACACATAAATGAATCTTGACACCAAGGTCTGGAAACTGGGATAGGCTTTCGAGCAGTCCTGAGCTTGGCTCCGCACCTCCGACTTGTCGGCAAAATCTGCACGGTTTCTTGCAAAACGTTAAGCTCTGGTTTAAAGACAACAAGCCACTGTGAAAAGACAAGACCTGGAGAAATATCAATTAAAACAATGGCCTTATTATAATGTGTATTCTTTCGGTTTTTTCGGTTAAAATATTCACACCGCAAACCTCACGTCGCAAATGTTTGCAATCATTTATTATCAACAAAGCCTTCAAAATACAGATCACCGTAGAACCGTATGTCCATGACTTACATGATTAAATACAAAACCTCTGCCTTTATTGTGAATTAAGCAAATTAATCGTTTAATCATCTACTTTATTAAATACACCGTTTGGTAGTTAGACGTCAATGAAAACGTTGCGTTTGAAAAGCTTCCTCACGCAGCAGCATGCACACAAGACTTAACTACCGATTACATTGTGTCACCACAAACTTGACCGGTGAGCCGAAGCAATGAACCTTTGGCAGTCGTTAACCGTAACAAATCACGTAATATTTAGACCTGCTATTATCTGGAAAATATATATTTTTGTTAACGGGATAGTTAAATCGGGCTGCATTGACACTGCTGTGGCTGTTGCGTTTCGGTAACAAAAACGGTCCGACAAGTCCATTCCAGCGTTGATCACCTTCACCGACAACGCAGGAAGCCCCGGTGTGTGACATCCCCGAAACTGCCTGTAAGGACGCACCTCAAGATCTCAACCTTTGTCTTTCCCATTTCAAGCCACAAGCCCAATGTCCCATTTTAAAACCAAGTTCTGCTCTCCTGAATTTCACAATTAACCATGTCCGTAGTCGTCAAGTGTCACAGCACATGACCATATCACCCAGAACGCGTCCCCCATCTCCACGAGGACCTCTCTGAAGTGAAGAGACGCAGAGCAGCCTGCATGGCGCTTGGAAGGGCAACCCACCGCGCAATGAGCTCCAAGAGGGTGCTTGCTGCATGGCAATGTTGTGAGGGCAGCAGAGGGCAATGCACTGACATCTATAGTTCTTGACCAGTGGTCCACCTCTTCTCCAGCCATGCATCATGCCCAATTCAACTTACTCTTCGTAGGTCAACAATGTTTCTAAACCCGCGAATGTCTTCGAATCCACGTGGCTTCTCTAGTCAGTTTAATTTCAGGCATCTTAATTAGCTCCTCTTCTTTCGTTCTCTGCCCGACGACAAATTCTCAGCTCAACCCCCCCCCCTGCACCCCCCCCCACCCTGTCCAATCTTCGGCTCTATTCTTCCGTTCCACTGTCCAGTCCCCATCCCCGGCCACCGTTCCTTAAAGGCTTCAAAAGCACGTTAATCAGGGTCGCACAAAAACTCGGCACCATCATCATTTGCAGTGGCCAAGAAAATATTCACACACCCCGGCAGAGTGTGTGTTTGTGCCAAGGCCCTTTTTTGGAGGCGAGGGGAGCCAGAAGGCAATGGACTCGCAGCTGGAGGCAGCATACGGCAATGCTAAGAACAGGTGCAGTGTAGCATTTGGTTCATCACTCAAAAGACACCACACTGCTGTGAACCATTCATACTGTAGAATTGGGGTATGCAATGTAGTCAGTTAATCAAATAAAAACGATTATGTTACAAGAATACAGCACGCCACTGAAATACAGGCATAATTCAGAGGTATGCCATGGCATACCCTGTTATTCTTATATAACATTGTCCTGGAGGTGGTGGTGGTGGTGGAGCAGGTGCAGTTAGGGACTTTTTTTACAGCACAGTACTAAACTGGGCCTGCCGGACACACGACTATTCTGCGCGGCGTGGAGCGGCAGCTAACGGCAGGTCACAGCACGGCTTTGACCGCTTAAGTCTCGAGCTTTCGGGGGTGCGATTTTCATTAATATTTTTTCCTCTCTCAAATTTTAGCGGTCCCCGCAAGCCCCTCCCCGTTCACACGGGGGGCCGCGATATAAATCCACGTAGGGTTGTGTTGAGGATACTCCGATTTGTGGAGTTTCCCAACGTGCTTAAGTTACGATAGATTAAGCTTTCATTACAACAGTGCAACTGTACACACCAAATACAGTCAACGTGATGGTCATAACAAAATATACCGTGAAACAGTAAAAAGCATTTCATTTGCTTCGGGACGTGTGTTGTGACCCCCAGCAAGACGTTTAAGTGTAGCGAATACATTTGTGGATCAGTCTGAAAGTTCAAAAACGGACTTTGACATAGGCATTATGATTTCGCGATCTGGCAAGACCCTGGGCGCCATGGTTCTCAGACCCCCAACCCCACCCCACGATTCGTAAAAAAAAAAAATTAACTGAATTAAATCCCTCGTACAACTAAAAGGTATACAATTACAAATATTTTCACATAGGGTACACATTCTTCTATTATAACGATACAGAAAATAAAAAGATAACATATTTGTTTTTACAATTCCAGCAAACGATAACAAAGTACAGTAGTAGGTAAGTGGATTGAATAGTCGCCAAAAGAACGGAATCCATCGGCCAATCAGTCATCAGATAAATGATTCCCAGTTCAAAAGCCCATAACCCCCATGGATTCAGTATCACTTTACCGAGTAGTTAAACCATCCCATTACCTACTTATATACCGATGAGACATACACCCACCCAAACTGGAGTACCTGGAGAAAACCCCCCTCTCAAACAGACAAGACTCATCAGCAACCTGCTTCCCGCACTGCCAGCTACTGGCCACCTCAACCTCCCCCGGTTGGGAATCTCACAACCACCACCAACCCCGGGGGGAGGGCCTACAGACGTGGAGCTTCATCGGCACGGAACGAACCCACGTCACTATAAAAACGAATTGTCCCCTGGGCCAATTCCGTGGCATATTCGATCTGCCGGAGAGTCTCGCCGTTTGTATAATCTCATTCTGTCTCATGTTTTTAAATATCCTAGCAGTTGACACGGGGCTTATCCAAGCAGTAACGCGCAAGGCTTTGTACTTACATTGAGCCAAATTTCCACAGGTAGTCGCCAACACACTCCCAACTCTGATTAGCATGGTGGGCTACGTAGGGTGCGAGGATGGTAGAATATATATATACCATCCTGTGCCGGGCACAGGATGGTAGGAAATTAATCATTTAATAATTATATTGACGGGTGGGTGGGGGGTAGTCGGGCTTTCCCCATCCCCACCCCTCCACCCTCTGGTGCAGCCCTAAAATCAATCTGCTGCTGGATAAGGGCCCTCCCCAAGGCGTCGCATAAAACGAGCGTGCCAACAGTAAAACAACGCACGTGCTTGCTCGCGGTTAACAATAATGTTTCAAATCCAGGAATCATTACACGCCTGACCACAAAAGACACAGGGTTAAAACATCTCCCGTCTCCCAGCAGCACCAGCTCAAGCGGAACAACTCACATTCCCCCCCCTCTTACTTGCCCGCCCGCCCGCCCGCCCGCTCGCCCACAACAAACACGCGCCGAGGACGGCTCCATTTGCTCGCGCTGCAAACTCCGAGAAGCGCCCCCCCCCCGCCGGCTCAAAGCGTGTCATCGTTGGCCGGCGCCGGCACGCCGGCGAGGTCCAAGGCGGCGATGTGCACCTTGCGGTGCCGCGAGAGGTGCGACGAGGTGATGAAGGCGCGGCCGCACTCGCCGCACTTGTACGGCCGCTCGCCCGTGTGCGTGCGCCGGTGCTGCGCCAGATGTGCCGACTGCGTGAACGCCTTGCCGCAGAAGCCGCACTTGTACGGCCGCTCACCCGTGTGGATGCGCCGGTGCATGTTGAGCTGCGCGCTCTGCGTAAACGTCTTGCCGCAGTCCTGGCAGTGGTACGGCTTGTCGGCCGACGGCTTCCACCACACGCCCACCACCTCGTCGCCGTCGCCGCCCGCCGCCTGGCTCGGGCTGTGCTGCTGCTGCTGATGCTGCTGTTGCTGCTGCTGTTGCTGCGACGAGCCACCGCCCTTCACTGCCATGATGAGTTCCTCCAGCATTTTGCTCTTGTCCGTTTTCCCGCCGCGGTGGGCGGGTCGCGACTGCTGGCGGCGGCGGCGCGACGAGGCCGAGTTGTCGGCGAAGGAGGTGGCGCGGCGGGGGCCATGGCCGTCTGCGTTCGGCTGTGGCATGGCGAGCCCGGGCTGGGCACCCCCGCCCCAGTGGTAACCGTCGTCCGACACGCCTTGCTCGTCGTCTTCGCCTGTGCAGAGAGAGGGGAAATCCACAGAGTTGTCTCGGGAACGCTCAACGTAACTTGTTGGCCAGACGCAGCCTGCGACTTAATTTCACGTGGTCCGCAGACACAAAGAGGCCTACCCCACTTAGAAAACACCTGAAATGATGTTCATACGTCAATGCAAGCATCTCGGTAAGGATAAGGAACCCTGTCCCTGGCTTGAATTAATCATTTCATTTGTCGTTAACTTGTAACCGACACCAGACTCTACACCCACTTTCTCTTTTAGAGTCGCAGAGGCAAAATTGCTTGGTTCACCGATGTGGCACAGCGAAGATTCTGCAATGGACGAGACCGTACAAATGAGCCGTGACAATTCAAATGACAATTAACGTGCATGTTGTAGTATTTGGCTACTTATAAATTTCGACGTGATAAGCCACTTCATTGGACTATCATTTGTGGCCAGGTCGCTTCTGAAAACGAGCTATACAGCTCAGTGGGCCTTAACCTGGTAAAATAAAAAGTTGTGGTAAAAAAAACGAGATAAATAAAGGAGGGATTTTTCTTCATTCTAGTAATCCAAAGGCGGTTGGAGGAGAAGCGAAACCGATAACATTCCCATTCCTCACCCCATGCTGGCATCTCAAACCCTCCACCCCAAACCCAGCTTTGTCACCTGGGAAGGCTTCGCTCTTGACCCTCCTCGGCAGGAAGCGGTAGCCACTGCTGCTGCAGCCGGCCATGTCGGCGGCATCAGGGTCGTCGTCGGTGGCGGTCGCGACGGCAGCGGCGTCGTCCACCATGGGACTGCCGGCCTCTGCCTCCGCCTCTTCTGCGGAGACGAGGTGCGAGGGGGTGCGACGACGAGTTGAGGATAAAAGAGGTGCAAGGTTAAACAGAAGAAAAACTCGCTCGGCTAAATAGCATCGATGCAATCTAGATTTGAAGTTTTCGTGACTGCAGGGATCCATGCTCTTTGGTTCTTTCGGTAAAGTCACCCAAGTAGGTAGAAAATAAAATAAATAAAATTAAATCACGACGTTTCGGGCGCAACACAATTGCTGTGGTTGTCCCACCTGACGACGGACGCTTGTGTTGAGCCCGAAACGTCGTGATTTTATTTATTTTATACCTACGTGACTTTGCCGAAAGAACCAAAGAGTAAGCATCGATGTACCTATAAGGCTTGAATATTTCTGGCAATAAAATGGAAGGTGCTAAGAAGTTTAAAGACCTTTTTTGCAAGACATCAAGTCTGCATGAACACCTGTTTTATTGTCAAAATGAGTAAATCCTATTCGATTTTTTTTCTCATCATTTTGATACTGCCAAAAAAGTCCCATCGACATGATCGATGTGACGTGATCACCAAACCCGGGGGGGGGGGGGGGGGGGTATCAGACTTATTGACCCTATGAGCCACACGGCAAAATCCTCACTTGGCCGAGAGCCACGTGACACATTATACCCTACAGCATCACTGAGATGAGATGCTAATTAAAATTACGTCAACTTCTGACGTACACAGTATTCGCAACAGAGGCGCGAGGAACCACACGCAAGCAGCAAGGCAGCACCGCTATGAGTCGGCACCAACAACAGGCCCAAGCTCTGCAGTCCTCTACATGTTAAGATGTTACCCAACGATTAATGGGAGTTTAAAAACGGGAGGAAACCCACGCGTGCGTGCGGGCGGGGGGGAACTATCCCAGATTTTCGCCGTAACCGTCTTCCCCTGGCAAGCCAGGGTGTGACGATAACAACAGGGTGACGAGGTGAGGTGGGGTGGTAACAACGTGAAGAGGTAACAGAGTTAAACGACGTGAGCGATGTTACCTTTCCACGCGGCCTCAGTCTTGATGCGTCGCCACGACATCCCCGTCGCTTGCTGTCCGCCGGGGTCACGGGCGGCGCGAGCGGCAACGGCGCGAGACTCCACCCCCAGTGCTGAGAGTGGGGAGGAAGGGGGGAGGGTGAGGCGGGGGGGGTGCACGCTTAAGGACTGTGGCACCAAGCCACGAGCCATCATTGACAAGGCACCATCGCAATGTGGTTCGCCTGCTTGCCGTGTGCTCGTTTTGACGATGCAACGGTTCGGTGGTAGAATGGTGCAGCGAATCGGCGGCGCGTAGGCTCGCTTGGTGCACTTCGGTGGTGCAGTTCAGCGCTACAATTTTGGTGGCGGAGATGTTCAGTGGCGTGATCCAGTAGTGCAGTAGTGCCCTGGTAAAGAAATTGCCGAAACGGTTACACCATCATGAGTACGGCGGTACGGTTTGTCAGCGCCGTTGGCGGTACGACGCGGCTCAAACGGCAAAAGTTTAGCGGCGCGGCAGTGCGGACCAAGGAGACCCTCACCAGCGGTGGCAGCATCTGTGGTCGGGCTCCCGTCCGTCCACGCATTCTCCTCGTCCCACTCTGCCCCCGCCATCGCCGTCCCCTCATCTTCATCGTCAGGCAGGTACACCTCGTCACCGTCCACCGGACCTACGGCGAAGACGCAGCAGTCACGTTTTAATTTTGGTTTTCCCATCCCTCCATCATTGTGCTACTGGTGACATACAAAGTACAGTAAAATAAGCCTGAATTCAGGGTAAGCCTGAATTCAGGATAGGCCACAGAGTGGAGAAGGTGAAAGGGAGGTGGAAGACGTGAATGACACTCGGGGTGGAACAACAAAGAGTACTAAGAATGGCGCCATCAGTGAGAGAAGGAAGACGTCGCATTGAGGACGAAGTTAGGGGAGGTGATGGATGTGTAAGAGGAAGTGGCGAAAGTAGGACAGGGGTGGTACCGCTTATAACGATGGTGGAAGTGGTGGACAAAGTGGAGCTGGAGAAAAATAGGTGGTAAGAGCGGCGACAGAAGAGGGTCAGTGAAGCAAATCATTGGGTAATGTTATTAACATATTACATGTCAGTCAAGGCAGAAACAAGTAATCAGAATCAGAAAGGGTTTTATTCGCCATGAAAGTTCACACCGACACGGAATTTACTTTGGCAGGATGGTGCATACATTCAACATATAGGAATCTAAAATCTTAAATAAGTTTTAAACAAGTCTTACTATAATAAGGGTTAAAAGTCTAACTAACACCAAGGGGCTGAAGTATATAAAATTGAATAAATATCGAATATAAAATAGCTTTAAGATATAATTTAAAAATAAAAAAATACAAATAGGTTAACAATCATGTTCAACTTCAAAAACGTAATTTTTCATTTTGTGAAACGATAAAACCATTTGTTTTCTCCTTAACTGGTGTAACAACGAGGTATGCATGTAGAACTTATTTTGCACCGTACGTAGCCAGCCACCATTCTCCCTCTCGCAGTCTAATGAATTGTCACAATCTGTGCTCAAAGTTCAATTCAGACATCACACTCTTTTTTCCAAAACATTCTGATAGGTGTAGCACCTCAGGTGGTTGCAAGGGTGATCACATAAACCCAACTATGTGCAACACAGGTGAGGCCAGGTAAACATGTTTGTGGAATGCCCAGCGAAAGGAGAGTTGAGACAAGGCGGAGGAAAGAGAAAGATGCAATGAGAAAGTGAGGTCACAGCAATTTAATTTAAATGTTATTAAATTGTATTATTTTCTATCTACGTGACTTTACCGAAAGTACCAAGAATATGAATTCCTGCAGTCACGAAAGTTGTAAGTAAAAAAAAAGGTCACACAAAGGACAAAGACCCCCCGTAAAGTCTTAACACAGACTGTTGGGGCAAGTGCTGTTAGCGAGCAGCACCTATGCAGGCCTACACGGCACACGAGGGGGTGGGTGGCCAGTACCACGCCCAGCCGCCTTTTTCTCCCCAGTGGCGATGTTTGCACACCGCACCGGGTACTCATTTGAGGCTGAGTCGACCTAGGGGAGGACCAGGACCGGTTCAGATAATCGTCACTGGCGTTGGCCGTGAGCGGGAATCGAATTCAAGCCGTTTGCTTTTTCTAGCTTAGCGCAGCCCGCTTACCGCTACACTGCCGCTCTCTCACACACACACACACAGACAGACAGACAGACGCACCATCATCATCGTCGTCATCGTCGTCGTCGTTCAGGAGACCTCCATGGTTCGCCGGATCCAGGAAGGTGAATCTCTTGGCCGATTCAAGCAGCTCCTGGCTCAGGCTGTTGAGCGTCGCCACGATGGCCTCGAGCACCACGGCGATCGCCGACTGCGGCGAGAACTGCCCCTGGCCGCCGATACGACCGCGGCGCGGCCGTTTGCCGGCGCCACGCGCCGTCATCACCACGCCGGACACAATGCGTCGCAGCACGGCGTAGTGCGCGAACGGCAGCTTCTCGCGAGCAAAGCGGAACAGCTCGGCCGTCACCTGTGCATCCTCTGCGCACGCCAGAAGCTCCTCGTAGTCGGTGATGCCCAGGTCGCGCTCCATTGCCTCGGCGAACTTGAGCTTCATGCCCTGCGAGGCGAGCCATGCCGGGAAGTCCTCGTGCGGATTCGACATTGCCACTTTGGAAGCCATGAGGCGCGTTGGGTTTCAGTCAAGTCACCTGCGGGAGGGTGATGGAGAGGAGGGGGGGGTGGAAACGTGACGTGCTGCGAACCGTTGCGAGGCGTGCTCGTCGGCGATCAAGACCACACCGGTGGCGGAACACAACGCTGCCAACTGTGAAGTGTGGATCAGAAATGTGGACATCGGACAGAGGTGGTGGAACGCAACCCTAGCGGCGACGAGACAAATTCAACCAGCTGCCAAAGGGAGGAGGGGGGGGTTGCGATATTTGCCGATGCCCGTGCTAATTGCGGCACATGCTCATCAGTAATCACGCACCGTAAGACTGCACGCAGCCAACTCTGTTCAGACAACCCCAATGATTGACACTGCGTTGGAAGCACTTCAATAGTGACTTGACAAAAGGACTGTACGTTATTATTATTATCATCATCAACTGTTAGCTAGGAAAAAAATAGAAAAGCTCAAATTTGCAGCGATTTCCACCTGCCAAAGGGGAAGAGCTGTCGCATGCTGTGAATGTTGAGGATGGAGCTAACAGCGGCACATGCTAATCAGTAATCATGTACCGTAACTGCGAGTACTGCCAGCCACGCAGTACGGACCAGAGACATCGACGCAAACGAAATTGGGGAGAAGCTGCAATATGCACAAGCATGCTCGGCATTTACATTGCGAGACAAAACGGGGAATGCACGGATCACCGAGGGAACGTCACAGTGGCTGTTGAGAAGCGTTTGCGTTCATTATAAGTGGGCTTGGGCTGGACGTGTTGCAAGAATGGATAATGGCTGATGGACGAGCCCAGTGATGGAATGGCAGCCAGAGAAGAGAAGGCACCCAAAGAGCATGTCCTGCAAATATGACGATGCAGCGAGATCAAAAATCAGGAGCTAGATGGATGTTTCGTCGTGTGGCCATGATGCACGCTAACGGGTTGTAAAGGCCTCAATTCAGCTGTGGATAAATAATGGCCGATTTTACATTACGGGGTGAACCTGGTGGGAGTGGTGGCACAGTGGTTCGTTCACTGCGTCCGCCGGCCCGGTTCTCGCCAAACACTGAAATCAGCTCCCCACTTCACCAACCTGCACTGGACCAGTACGGGAAGCCCTTCATCCAGCAGTGGAGCGACAAACGGCCGCAAATAATAAAACAAAGCGAAGGCAGTTGCAGTGTTATTCTTTGCTCTTAACGTCTTCAAATGACCGACTGCCTGGTGTATGACCGAGAGTGGCTCAAGTAGGAGCTCTCGAGAAACGATCAATGCGTGAGACTGGACCTGGTCAGTTGCGGCGTGAGAGTCGGGATTCAGCAAAAGCTGCGTGGAGGAAGGGAAGGGGATGGAAGCGAGGGGTGGGTGGGTGCCTTCTTGTTCACGTATTTTCACATCCTGGAGCGGGAATTTTTTTTGTTTGCGACGTTACAATACATCATGTGGATGTGTACGGCGTTTAGATGCGACTGCATCTCAAGACGCTGTTACAGAAACGGTGGAGCGTGTTTGTTTTGTCGACCGGAAGCGTCCTCAGTAATGGGGGGGGGGGTCTCGTAGCTTAGATGGATTTGAACAGGGGCAGTCGACAGTACGGATTGCTGGGAGGAAATAAGTCCAATACATTTTGGGGGCAACACGACCCTCCCACTGTGTGAAGGTTGACTGGAAACTTCGACGGGCTTGGTTGTTTGAGCGGAAGGGGGTGCGTGGAGGGGAGAGTTAGAATGAGTTGAGATGTGGGGTGGGGGGTGGGGTTAGTAGATAAGTGCGGGGAGGGAAGCTGAATGAGATGAGAGGATAGAGAGCGGGTACGAGTGTGTGGAGAGGAGACGAGAGCGGTGAGTGATTGGAGCGGAGTAGTTGTTCTAAGGGAGGGGAGAGGAAAGGAGAGCGCGTGGAGGGGGCGTAGAGTGTTGAGTGAGATCAAATGGGAGTGGTGGGAGAGTGCGGGAGCTGTGGAGGAGAGAGGCATGCCACGGGGGGGGGGTGACTTTAATGGAGGGATCTTGAAGACGGTGAAAGGCATCGGCGTGTTCGCTGTTGACAAGTCTGGTGTGGACGTCAGACCCGTCTGGACATAGTGAGCCCAGCGGCAGTAACGACGGCGGCAAAACGCAAACCCCCGGGGGGGAGGGGGGCTTACTGCCAACAAAACGAGCCACGCTGTGCATTCTATTAATCGGCGTGGTTAATCCACTACTAGGCGAAGGCATCCCCAAAGACGGACGCCTCTCCATCTATACAGAGTGCGCGATTCAATAGTCAGAAAGTTGATTTACGACTGGAGGAATCTGAAGAGCTACGAAGCTCTTTATGGGTTCCCCCCCCCACCCCACCCTCGCACCGTGGCCCACGGCTCACGATCAGCGGCCGGCGACCAAATCGACACCGGCCCCGTGGCCTCCATCGCCACTTGACCCCCACACCCCGCGCGCGCGCCCCATCACCGCGGCAAAGCAAATGGGTGGGAGCTCGACGCACGGGGCCAAACGCCCCGCGAAGACCGACGCGCAAACTGTAATACCGCAAAGGCGAGTGACCGGTGGTGGTGGTGGTGGTGGCGAGCGGCGGCGGCAAGGCGTCGTTTTAAAAACGTTAACAGCTCTAAAGCGCCGAGGGCCTCGGCCCCCCGCGCCGCATCCTGACTCGAGCCTAGGCGAGCAGGCCGCATCGCCGCCCTCTGCGGCCCGCCGCGCGAGGCCTCCGCCGCAGCCGTCGCCGCCGCCGCAGCCGCCGCCGCCGCGTCCCCCAGCCGCCGCCGCAGCCGCTGCCGCGCTTACGGAGGTGAAGTTGTGGAGTGGAAGACCTCACCGGGGAAGGGTGTGGGGGGGAGTCCCTGTGCCGGAGTCGGTGTTCAACTCGGGTCGAGGAGACGCGGGCAAAGGAGGCGCGCGCGCGCGCCTTTGTCCTGAGGGGCGGGGCTGGGATTTGTCACTTACGGGAGCCGGGGAGGGCCATTAGAACGGGGTGGGAGCGGGGGGGGGGTTTGTGAAAGGGGAAACGCGATTTTTAATTAGATTTCCCTTTTTTTAAATCCTAGAAAGCGACTCAGGAGGGTTCTGAGTCTCCAAATATTGAACGCAAATTGGGCTCATCGGTCAATTGGCTTTCCTCGATCGAATTTGTTTAAGAGAAGCAAGCGAGCCTTATTCAAATGTGCCGTATGTTGTTGTTATGCTGTTAGCCTTGTTTGGTTCCATTCGAAATGTCTTTCAAATGTTGCGTGTGTTTAAATTGGCCTTGTGTAAATCAGGCCACGCTTGCAAACAACTGTGTGGTGTGTGTTCTCAACGGCGCATTACATTTAATCTCCTGGCTTTTATAAGCAAAATACATCACAGTCCTCGTCCCATGTGGGTCTGATCAGCAGGTCAGGGCTAGTAAACCAAAGTTCTTGGTCGACAAAGCCTCAATGACTTGGTTCAGATTCCTGCTGCATTGGAATGTGGTCGATTCGATGAATGGGTGTTTTTTGGCAGAAACGTGGGTTAATCTATATATTAAAAGGAAATTTGTGAATGTGTCTGTTCGAAATTTTTTGCATACTTCCCGACATGCAACAAACTTTAAATTTGGCACGTGGGTTAGCTTTTTGTCTTTTTTTTTTGGGGGGGGGGGGCGCAATAATGGATATTTTGCACGGCAAGTGAGCGGTGACGTCACATCTGTGATGTCACCCGCATGCGGCAGCGTCACGCATTGTGCCTGCTGACGTCACGCATCCCCCCCACCCACCCTCCGCGTAGACCGTGTATTAATCCAACAAGAATCCAAGTCCCGGGCGAAGGCGGGTGTAGTAAAGCTAGTGACTAACATAGAACTATACCGGGTTACGACAACTTGTAAATTAGTCTTTAGTTGTGTTTAACTCCAGTCGTTCTCGCAGCGGCTTCTGGCTAGCCATCGAACACAAACGGTGGTCACCGCATCGCGCGCTTTCAGATGCGCTTCCGCGGCCGTCTGGAACGCTCTTCCTTGCGATATCAGGAAGCCGCTGGAGCTGTGCACTTTTAAATCATCATCATCATCTAGATTAACAATCTCATTTTTATCTTTCGGTTGTTGTCTTTCCCCCGCACCTCTGACCAGCGCGGTTGGCTACGTACGGTGCGAATGAAGTTCAGCGGACGCACTGCAAGTTGAACGTGCGCGTGGATCACAGAACAATTGCAATTCAGAGACGCCGTATTTTGGGTTGCGAAGAGAGACGGGGGCAAGTGCTTGGGCAGAACTTGTCGCTGTAAGGGATGGTCGCGACGAAAGACGGAGTTGGAATCAAGGGGTGAGGCGGCAGGGGACGTGCCCATGTGAACACCCTCCGAGGAGATGGAGCGACGAGATTAGCGCGTTTCCAGCTCATACGGATTGTTTACGTCGTGAGACTGTGAGGGGTAGTGACTGCTTGGGGAAGCCTTCATCCAGAAGTGGATAGACCACGGCTGATAATGGCATCAGTCACTTCTCAAAAGAGCGGTAGGGACTGTGGTCATCTGCCCTGGCAGCCCTGAATCACCACCAGCATCATCATCAGCAGCAGCTATCATCATTCTACTGCTGGATGAAGGCCTCCCCAAAAAGCCCCCATCAATCGTGAAAGCCAGTGGTGGAAATTCCACGTTCCCTTGGCAAGAGCCCAGTCACTTGGTAGGAGAGCCACCGATGATTTAACAGAATTGATGCAACTCTTTTTGACACCTTTAGACCAAAATGAACTTAGAAACAAACAGTAAAGCACAGCGAGAAAAAAATCATAATTGCTCTCCTTTATTGAAACTATGCAAGTTACACAGACGAGGTACAGTACTCAAACACATCCTTCTATAAAGCTATACCCGAGCGATAACACTGCTGATAGAGAGAAAGAGGGGGTTAACCTAAGGTTGACTGCGAAAATGAGAGCCCGCGGGGGTGGGGGGGGGGCACATAAAACAAACAACCCAGAAACAAATTTTCAACAATTCGCACCCGAGCGAGCAGTGCGGTGAATGTGTATAACGGTGATCGGCTAGATCGTAAATGTGTCACATGGCTTGTCAGCATCGTCAGCAGATTTGTCCCATTCGCCTCAACTCCAGGCTCGGGGTGCTACTTGAAGCAGAGCCAAACAGCTTGCCCCGTGTCATCGTTTCACCTTACGATAATCACCGACCGTCCTTTAATTAATTAACGATGTTTCACCTCGATAACCCCTTCAGATTGGACCATCTCATACGCAAGGGTGTCCAGGGTTATCAATTGACACAATTTCTTGCACGGTCCATACACCTCCTGGACAAGACCCTTCCCAGGCCCTTCCCTGCTGATCTGCAGGAAGCCGTGATTTAATCGAGACTCGTGGAGACCAGTACCACAATCGGAGTCTTGATTGAGAGTTGGAGAAGATCGGGAATTTTTTGGGAGGATCCGAGTTTTGAACCTTGAACCTTATGGCGGTATCCGAGGTCACCATAGTACCCCGGCTCTCGCATAATGTCCGTGATGCAGTCATTTTTAGTATGTTGATGGTCGGCGATGCGGCAATCGACTCATCTCTACGAGCTGTACACGATGCACCACTACGGTGCGTACAAGCGTTCAGGGTATCAGCGCAATCGTCCTCGCTTTGTTTCGACATCGCGGAGTGTGGCACTAATTTCGGATTGATTGGTTACCCCAGTCGTGGAGTTAAGTAACACCCCTGGACAAAATATAGTGTCCCAGAAAAAATATATTTAATTGTCTCGGCCATTTAGTATTATTTGGCACCCCGGGGTACCGCCATAAGGATCATTTACTCTGCAAGACTGGGTGTCAGTTTGGAGTCTTGATGATTAGTAAGAGAAAGATGATCGCAGGATCAGGCTTGATGTCAATCTTCTACTTTCGTATGACATGGAGTGGGGAGATAACTACCGTACTTTTTCTATTGGTGTCACGTTGAGCTGTTTTTATCTTACCAGGTAAGGCCCACTGAGCTATCCATCTCTTTTTCAGATATAAGTATAATAAATTATAGCTTATCATGTGGACATATATAGCAGCCACGTACTCTAAACGCGTGATGTTGATTCTAAATGTGAAGGTAATAACGGAGGACCCAGAGAGAGAGAGAGACAAACTCCAAATATACAGCAGGCGTCAGGGTCGGGATCGAACCCATAACCTCCTGTATACCAGGCGAGGTAGTTAACATCTCCTAGCCACCGTGATGGTTCTGAGTTGAATTTTATGATCATTCAACCAATCTAAGGCGGCAGTGGACGCTGTATGGATTGCAGCGATACTGCCAGGGTGTGTGTGGATGGCACTGATGAACAAGGTCACAGGGCTTACTATAGTGAGCCACAGTGTTTGCAACTCCAACGAAATGGCTTACAGCCCCTCTATGTATTTTGCCCTGGCAGAGACTAACTGCAGCTCACGAGGTTGAACAAGGGGCTTTTGGTAGGCACGTGACAATTCGACTGCGAAAATTAGACTCCAATATTCGTGTGATACCTGCACAGAATTGCGTGCGTATGCGATAATTAATTAATTAGATTTATGAAAATGTTACGCATTTTTTTTCATACTTTCTAACAGTGAGAACAAGAGCACAAATGGGATTAAAAAAAAAACACAATGTGGGACAGGATGAACAAGACTGACAGAACAAACAATTCGGACAAGTACACGAGACGGACATTACACATGAGACTGACAGTACGCTTGAGACAGTACAAACAAGACTGCCAGTACAAGCGAGATGGGCAGTATGAACAAGACTGCCAGTAACAAATCAGGCAGACAGTACACACCAATACCGGCAGTACAAGTGAGAACAAGTACGAGAGAGACGGTGGTACAAACAATACATACAGGACAAAGATGACGGGACAAACAATACATGCAGGACAAAGATGACGGGACAAACAATACATACAGGACAAAGATGACGGGACAAACAATACATACAGGACAAAGATGACGGGACAAACAATACATACAGGACAAAGATGACGGGACAAACAATACATACAGGACAAAGATGACGGGACAAACAATACATACATGACAAAGATGACGGGACAAACAATACATACAGGACAAAGATGACGGGACAAACAATACATACATGACAAAGATGACGGGACAAACAATACATACAGGACAAAGATGACGGGACAAACAATACATACAGGACAAAGATGACGGGACAAACAATACATACAGGACAAAGATGACGGGACAAACAATACATACATGACAAAGATGACGGGACAAACAATACATACAGGACAAAGATGACGGGACAAACAATACATACAGGACAAAGATGACGGGACAAACAATACATACAGGAAAAAGATGACAGGACAAACAATACATACAGGACAAAGATGACGGGACAAACAATACATACAGGACAAAGATGCGGGACAAACAATACATACAGGACAAAGATGACGGGACAAACAATACATACAGGACAAAGATGACGGGACAAACAATACATACAGGACAAAGATGACGGGACAAACAATACATACAGGATGAGACCGAAAGTATAAAGGAGACGGCATTCGATTCTTGAACAAAAGTGACAATCGACATTTTTCACATGGCTCACTTTTGTTTCTTTAAGTCCAACCCCGGCAATAACGAATCATCACCCCCACTTCACGAGTCTATGGAACGGTAACAATCCCAACGTCGCGATACAACAACAAATAGTTGTCTCTGCGATTTAAAATAAACGCCTTAAAAAAGTTTTTTTTAAAAAGCAACGGTTTTATTAACAACTTCGTTTAACTCGCGGTCGAGGAGACGTCAATGGCACCTGAGGACACGCGGCGCCCACATTGTGTGCGAGCCGATTTCACAGTTTAGAGACCGCGGCGTTTTTGACCTACACAAAAATATATAATTAATAAGCCGTCCATACCAAAAATTGTAATTGCTTCAAAGGAGGCAATTAATTGATGATTTGAT